GGGTCCCGTCAAGCTATTTAACGTTTCCCCGACTCCCGCACCATATTTTGGCCAAATCCCGGATCCCGAGAATACCCTTCCAGACCCTCTTCACAATACTGTGCAGGGTGTTTCAAAAGTTCGTGGACATTTTAAAAGTCTATACATCATCCAGATTTTTCATTGTTCTCTCCATTTTCTTACAGACATTAAGAAATCTTATTGTTTATTGATTATCAGAACTATTATAGAAGAAAAATAAAAAGAATCGTTGAATTAAATACTTCCTCACCAAAAGGTGCAAATATATGCCGTGTTTGTTTCTGTACTTTCCCGCCATCTTTGTCTGTTTTTTGTTCCTACTAGATTTTCATCGTTTTGACATAATTTGCATTATGAACCCTAAAAAAAGGAGTGTATTTAAGAACACAGGCAGCAATTTTACGATCATTTGGAGTATCTACGCGAGGAACGGCTAAACTATTCCAAAAAAGCAGGAGCTTGGTAGCAAAATGGTCAAGTTCTCAAGAGTCTCACGACAAGCCAAGAAGTGGTAGACCAACAGTCCTTGACAGACTAGCAAAGAAAATTAAAGAAAAAGCAAAGTATAAAAAGGGCAGTTCTATCAAAAAAAATCAGCAAACAACTGAAGAACAAAGATCTGCTTGGAACAACAACAACCGTGTGGAGATATATGTCCAGAAAAGGATGCAAACCTTGAGAGAAAAAAAAAAAACGACCACTTCTGAGCAACAAACAGCGGAAAACTCGCTTAGCATTCGCTCGCAAATATCTTTGCAGCAGTTGCAGGAGATGAATGGAAAAAGTTTCTCTTTAGCGATAAGTGCCCTAATACCTTTTCCATCTCCCCAACCCTAAAAACGATATGGTATGAGGCGCACAGGAAAGCCAGGTTTCGCCATCGTACCAAGTTAAAGGAAGCGCCAAATGGATAGCTTGTGGTGGCAATACTTACTACCTTACATTTTATTCCGCAAGGCCAAACTGTAACGGCAGAGTATTATATTACAAAAATCCTTGAGAAAGAAGTGAAGCCTCTTTTCCTCTGACGACGTGCAACAGAATAGCCTGTAAAACGAAAGCTTTTCACGAACAAAAGCAGCGCGACCTTCGTAAAAGATGGCGCACCAGCTCATACGGCGAAAGCAAACCAGCAGTGGTGCAAGAGGAACCTCCCGAGTTTTACTCTAAAAGATGAGTGGCCAGCAAGTTCACCTAGTCTTAACCCCATCGAGAACCTATGGAGCATCATTGACGAAGCTGCATATAGACATCCGATCCCTAAGACGATGGAAGGACTAAAATCAAGGTTACGGCAAGCCTGGCGAAACTTATCACTAGCAAGCTAAGGGCGGTAGCTCGTTCTATGCCACAAAAACCTTTTTTATACGATAACTGTGTAATTTCTAGCTCGCCGATTGGCTCATTTTTATCATCAATGAGAGTACAGACGGATAAAATTTTAATTTATGCAAACTTTCAACAGTTCAACCTTCAGCCGTCAAGCTGTCAACCTTTTAACCAATGGGATTTTATTAACTTTCCTAAGTAGCGAATCAAAAAGCGAGAAGAGCTATTGACAATATTCGCGTCATTTTGAATAAAATTTACTTGGCTTTGTCTACGGTAAGTTTACGGCATCTTTAACCTTCATTTATTCCCGACGTTTGACCACTTTGGGGTCTTGTTATTGTAAAAAACAAATTGACGTCAGTTTTTTATGCGTCTGTCCTCTTATTGAAGATAAATTTGGTCATAACATTGTCAAAGTTTACTGCAGAATCATTCGCCTGAGACTCGTGGTTCCACAGTCACTTTGACAACGTTATAACGCAATTTATCATCAATTAGAGGACAGATGCATAAAAAACTGAAGTCAATTTGTTAAATACACAATATTCGTTAAATACACTCGCGGAAATTGATAAAGGAAACAATGTACATAAAACTTTCAGTAACATGGGAATCCTCTAACTATCATTTATTTGTATAGAAAAGTGTCCACGAATTTTTGAAACACCCTGTAGGGTAGCTCTGCCTGAAAGCAGCAAAAGTGAATGGGAGCAACTACAGCTACATTACTGTTCATGACCGTCACTGAATGGTCGTTGCCATAGCGACGAGCCGCTTCTAGTAACACCCATTTGTTTGGTTATTCGTCGTCGTCTGTCATTC